ATACTGCCACTGTGTCATGCCACCCTCATTATAATTAACTGCTTATTTATGTCATTGGCCCATTATGTCTGTGTAAGCCATCAGGTGCCTATATATTCTAGTCCTATTTCCTAGCACATGGTCCATAGCCTCATATTCTATGGTGTTTCAAGTGCTCACCTACATAATTGAATGTTTTGATGACTGTGCCTCTACCCTTTCAGGCAGTAGTTCCACATATCCGCTGCCTTCTGGATGAAAAAAATTCCCCTCAACTTCCCCCTAAAACTTCCTGCCCCTCACCTTAAAATGTGCCCTCTGTTAATCACCTCCCTACTAAGGGGAAGAGTTCTTTCTCATCTACTTTATCTATGCCCCTCAAAACCTCAATTAGATGCCTCCTCACTGTTCTCTGCTCTAAGGAAAACAATCCCAGTTTATCTAGTCTCTCTTCCTAACTAAATCGCTCCAGTCCAGGCACTATCCTGGTGAATCTCAATTCTGCTATAGGAAGGGTTTTGTTAAACTTGAAAGGGTTCAGAAAAGATTTACAAGGATGTTGCCAGGGTTGGAGGGTCTGAGCTACAAGGAGAGGCTGAATAGAATTTTTTTACCTGGGGAGAGGACACCAAAACTAGAGGGCATAGGTTTAAAGTGAGAGGGGAATGATTTAAAAGGGACCTGAGGGGTGAATTTTTCATGCAGAAGCTGCCAGAGGAAGTGGTGGAGGCTGGTACAATTATGACATTTAAAAGGCATCTGGATGGGTATATGAATAGGAAGGGTTTAGAGGGATATGAGCCAAATGCTGGCAAATGGGACTGGATTAACTTAGGATATCTGGTCGGCATGGACGAGTTGGACCAAACAGTCTGTTTCTGTGCTATACAACTCTATGACTCTATAAAACCTCTCTAGTGCAATCACATCCTTCCTAAAGTAAGGTGACCAGAAGTGGACACAGTACTGTGACTGTAGCCCAACTAACATTTCATACGGCCCCATCATAACCTCCTTGATTTCTTATTCAAAGCCTCGACTAAGTGGCAACTAACCTTGTTTACAAGATTTACAATTTTGTTTACAATTTACATAGATGATTTGGAGTTGGGGACTAAGTGTGGTGTGTCAAAATTTGCAGATGACACTAAGGTGAGTGATAGAGCAAAGTGTGCAGAAGACACTGAAAGTCTGCAGGGATATAGATAGTCTAAGTGAGTGGGAAAAGGTCTGGCAGATGGAGTACAATGTTGATAAGTGTGAGGTCATCCATTTTGGTAGGAATAACAGCAAAATGGACTATGTTTTAAATGGTAAAAAATTGCAGCACGCTGCTCTGCAGAGGGACTTGGGTGTCCTTGTGCATGAATCGCTAAAAGTAGGATTGCAGGTGCAGCAGGTAATTAAAAAGGCAAATGAAATTTTGTCTGTCATTGCTAGAGGGATGGAATTTAAAAACGGGAGGCTATGCTGTATAGGGTCCTGGTGAGGCCACACCTGGAGTACTGTGTGCAGTTTTGGTCTCCTTACTTGAGAAGGGATATACTAGTACTGGAGGGGGTGCAGAGGGGACTCACTCGGTTGATTCCAGAGTTGAGAGGGTTGGATTATGAGGAGAGACTGAGTAGACTGGGATTATACTCATTGGAATTCAGAAGAATGAGGGGAGACCATACAGAAACATAAGATTATGAAGGGAATAGATAAAGTGGAGGCAGGGAGGTTGTTTCCACTAGCAGGTGAAACTAGGACTACGGGGCATAGCCTCAAAATAAAAGGGAAGCAGATGTAGGACTGAGGTCAGGAGGAACTTCTTCATCCAAAGGCTTGTGAATCTGCGGAATTCTCTGCCCAGTGAAGCGATTGAAGCTACCTCACTGAATGTTTTTAAGGCAAGGCTAGATAAATTTTTGAACAGTAAAGGAATTAAGGGTTATGGTGAGTGGGCGGGTAAGTGGAGCTGAGTCTCAAAAAGATCAGCCATAATCTTATTAAATGGCAGGGCAGGCTCGAGGGGCCAGATGGCCTACTCCTGCTCCTAGTTCTTATGTTCTTGGTCGGAAATGAAATGCTTTGGCACAAGGTCCGGATATAAGTTGCAAGTTCCTTTGCTGTTTTCAACACTAAACTGTTTATCGATTTTCAGAAAGTAAAGTTATGGCAGCATTGTTGAGGTTTATGTTCTGAGGCCTACCTGTGCTCTGAGGTTGGTTTGAGGTCACATAGACAGAGTGGGGTGAGTCAGAATTGACCAGAGAGCTGAGATTCTCTTATGAACTAAATGCAAACACAGAGCTAGGTAGGACAGGACATTGCCAGAACGTGTAACCTCGGACTCGCTTCCAAGTGTTTCTGGAGGTCAGTAGGCATCGCTGATGACCTTTCCCATTATCACCACAATACAACAAGCTGCAATCTCCTAGATGGGAAACATTTGAAGTCACAAATCGGCTATGACATTGGCAAACTGCCACAGCCTTGGTGGATTAGCTCAGGGAGTCAGAGAATAATTACGTTCACAAAGATTTCCACAGCTATTAATTTGCTTGCAGCAAAAGGGCTGTAGTTAGGTAGTTTAGGAAATTTTTACTGTGGTCTGGAAGAGTCAGCTCTGACAATCGTTTCCATATATCCAAAAAGATGTGGTTGTAAATCAACATACCATTCAGATAGTGCCTCCACCTTAGCCCTGAGTAAAGGAGTGGCATAGTATATTTGTATGTGTATATATAGCTTCTGTTAAGTGGTAAGTAAAATATAAAACTGTACAATTGCAGTGATTCAAAAGTGTAAGGGAACAGGTGCAAATGGTAGGAAAGAACAGTTCATAGGCAACATATTGGCTTGGTATCCCTGTAAATGTCTCTTCGAGGGATGGAAAGGTTTTCCAGGCCCAAGGTACTGTCATAACAGAGCCATTACATTGTCCTGCTGGCCAGAGACACAAATATGAAAGGCTCATTGCTGTTCTGTAACAGGTTTGCATCGGCCTATTTTTTTTTCCCGACGGCTTTCAAATATTTGCTTGATTTCTCCCAGTTTACAGGAAATCATAGGCTCAGAGTCGCTAAAAACAGCCAGGGCTGAGGTCAAAAAGAAACATCAGGAGTTTATGAATTTTTGACATGGGGATTGAGGCTGTAGTTATGGAGTTCTGGGGAATGGAGCCAGAAATGTAATAGGGTGAAAAAAAATCCTTTTCACACAAGTATTTAGGGCAGAGAATTCACTGTCTGGAAATGTGGTGGAGGCAGGTTCAGTTGAGGCATTCAATGAGGCATTGGATTTTTTTTTGGATGGTAATGTTTGCAAGGATATGGAGAAAGGCAGGAGACTGGCACTAGACAACAGATTGGGCTAGATAACAGAGGTGACATGGGCACAATGAGTGAGTAGCCTCCATCTGCACTGTAATAATTTGGTGATTCATTAGTGTACTGGAGGAGACCTGATCAAAATGGTTAATATCAAAAAAAAATTCAGTTAGAGTCAATAAAAGGGGGCTCTTTTCCAATGGCTGACGGGTAAAGTGTTTAGGTTTAAAGCAATTAGCAAAAGAACCATGAGGATAACCGCTTCAACCTGGAGGCTGGTTAGGACTTGAACTGCTTTTTCGACTCCTGAGTTGACTGTGTTGGCATCTGAGAGTAAACCTGTTATTTCTCCAGCACTGATGTGAGTCTTTGCCAGCTGAACCAGACACAATCAGCTAAGCTGATAATATCAAATGGAGATAATCTAAAGGTGGATCTTGAAGATTTTTGAGCCGTGGCCCTCTTTCCTTTGGCACACGCTACACTGTGGCGTTGTCCTTGGGAAGTAAGGTGTATTGGTACACCACCTTGGAAATAAATAGTGTGAATGCCCATATTGAGTTATATCCATGCCAGAGGGCAACAAGGACTTGTTTCTGTCACTTCCCACCAATCCATTCCTCATTTTCTAGAACAGGGTCAGTCTATTTTTCTCCTGTAATGATTCCCTGTCCAAGTCTGAGATCAGGAATGTGATACTGGTGCATTTCACTCACTCGTTCCTGTAGAATTGTGTAGCATGCCCCTGTATCACTTCAGTCTTATTTATACCTCTCACTATACTAAGAAGCCAACACATGCAACTTGCATATCCAGGACTGAGCAAACAAACGTTCGACAAGCTGTAACACTGATATTTTTATTGCAACGATTTGTCCTTAGAAGTCTGAGAATGCTGTTTGCTTTGAATGTTAACACGGGGAATCCCCATTGAAGATTCCTCCCCCTTGTATCTCCCCGTTGGACAATTTGATGGCAGAATTTAAAGTTTTGATTGGTGATGCACGTGGAATAGCGTTTCCTGATAATGGAATGAGACTCAATGATAGCTTTCCAAAGGGATTGGGAGAAAGCAGGGCAGAAATAAGGGGGGGGGGTTGCATTTGGGCATTAACTGAAGAGCTCTTCAATAGAGCTCGTACAGCGTTGATGGATCAAATGGCTTCCTTTTGTTTCAAATTACAGTAAAGATTTCACCCATTACTGCTGGATAAGGGCAAAGTGAGCCTTTAATGGTGAGATAGGGAGGACATGAGCCTGTATGAAGCTACCTTCAAACAAGTCAGAAAACATGAAGTTCATAGTGTGTAGGTAAACTCATCTTGCAGTGGAAACCCATTACCTTTAATGATTTTTATGCAAGCAATTGAGAATCCTTACAGTGTAGAAAAGAGGCCATTTGGCCCATTGACCCTCTCTCAAGCAACCCTTCCAGATCCCCACAACCCAGCATTTCCTGTGGCTAATCCATCCAATCCACACACGTGAACATTAGGGGCAATTTAGCATGGCCAATCCAGCTAACTTGCACATCTTTGGACTGTGGGAGGAAACCCACGCAGACAAAGGGAGAACACACAAACTCTACACAGACAGTTGTCCAAGGTTGGAATTGAACTCGGGTCCCTGGCGCTGTGAGGCGGGATGCTAACCACTGAGCCACTGTACGGCCTAGTTGTACATGTGAAACAAATAAATAAGCAACAATTCGATGTGAAGAGTTTATTTTATTTTCCCACAGCCCTGGCTTCAGATTTCAGTCAGCGATTGAGATGTCATTCTGCTTTTGGTATTCAAGCACCGAAGAAAATCCACTTCTTGTGCTCTCTCCTATCCAACTTATCCCTTGCCAGTTGGCTAGACATAAGAGCAAGTTCAGTCCCAAGGCGATTTTTTATGGGCCACAAGTATCTTTATTTTACCCTAATTTACTGGCTCTTGAGGTAATTTAGCCTTCAAAAATTGAAGGTCCCTTTTTTAATCGCCAAAGGTCCTGAGATTTAGTGGGTGAACTTTAGCCGTTCACAACAGCACTTTTGTCTTCTTTCTCAAAGAGGCAAAAGGGGATGAAAACACAATGTCTGTTGCCTGGTTATTCCCATTTCCAGTTCATTTCCTTGGCTCTGCACCAGCTCCTGTTGAGAGAAAAGCAAGGTTTTCATTCAGCCATGGGCCTCAAGGAATGCTGGTCATTAAGGCTTCTAAATTAGGCCATAAGACTCAAGAAGAGCAGGCTGTCATGCCTGTTCATTACAGAATCATAGAGTCATACAGCATGGAAACAGACCCTACAGTCCACACTGACCACGTTCCCAAACTAAACTAGTCCCACTTGCCTGTGCTTGGCCCATATACCTCCAAACTTTTCCTATTCATATACGTAATCAGATGTCTTTCAAACATTGTAACTGTACCCACATCCTCCACTTCCTCTGGCAGTTCATTCCAGACTCGAACCACTGTCTGTGTTAAAAAAGTTGCCCCTCATGTCCTTTTCAAATCATTCTCCTCTCACCTTAAAAATATGTCCCCTAGTTTTGACCTTCCCGCCCTAGGGAAAAGACCTTTGTCATTCACCTTATCGATGCCCCTCATGATTTTATAAACATCAATAAGGTCACCCCCTCAACCTCCAATGCTCAGTGAAAAAAGTCCCAGCCTATCCAGCATCTCCTTATAAATCAAACCCTCTAACCCTGGCAACGTCCTTGTATATCTTTTCTGAACACTTTCCAGTTTAATAATATCCTTCCTATAACAAGGCAACTAGAACTGCACACAGTACTCCAGAAGAGTCCTCACCAATGTCCTGTATAACCTAAATATGACGTCCCAACTCCTATACTCAAAGGTCTGAACAATGAAGGCAAGCGTGCTATATACCTTAACCACCCTGCCTACCTATGACACAAATTTCAGAGAATTCTGTACCTGAACCCCTAGGTCTCTCTGTTCTATGACACTACCCAGGCCTAGCATTAATTGCATTAGTCCTGTCATACAATCACACAGTCCATGTTTGTTTTACCAAAACACAATACCTCACATTTATCCAAATTAAACTCCATCTGCCACTCCTGAGCCCATTGACCCAATCGATCACGAACCCTTTGTAATCTCTTCTGTTTCTTGTCTCTGGTCAGGCAGCTATAGTTGGCATCTCAGTAGCATGGGCAAACTCATGTGTCACCAGTCCATGGCACTGGAACGTAGGTGTACCATGTCTAACATTTGACAGAAAGGCGAGACCTTTGCCAATGCAACACTGAGCAGTTGGGGACAAGAAAACCATGCCACGTAGTGGGCAGAGAAGGCTCGAGGAAAAGGCTAGAATGTTGCCACCCAATGTTTCCTGGGTTTTCAGGATTATCCTTATAGTGCGCTGCGTTTGCATTGAATCCTACTCCCTATCTGGGAATACATTGGGAATATTGGACATAGAGGTCAGTTTTTCAGACGTGTGCAGTGTCTGATTTCCCAATCCTTCCTGGCATCGAGTAGACAACTGTGAGTTGCAAGAATTGAGTGTGAAGACTGTAGGGTGGTCCCTGACAGAGTGGATACCCCTGACCACCTCACCCCTCCCCCCACCCACATTATTAATAATGAACCCAGAGTCTTAGGAGCAATTATAGGAGGATATTGATAAACATTCGCTGTTGGCCCAGGAAGGTCGCAGATACATGTGAGGATGTACATTTTGGCAGGAAGTATAGCATAGTTTAAGGAATTACTGTACACATATTGGCCATCACTAAGAACAGACAGCTCACAAGGGGACAGATGCATTACTATTTGGTTGCATATAGTTTACAAGTACGTAATAAAACAGTTTCTGTATGTAGGGAATTCTCTTCCTCCCTCAAAGACTATCCCCATCCCCACATTCGAGTATGTGACACCAGAATTGCAAGGAGATGACTCAAACACAGTATCAAGTGAGACATGTCTTCTGGTAACTCACTGTATTGAATTAGCTACAATTCTTAGGAATGGGTTACTCTCAGCAATCACGAGTTACAGTTGCAGCTACAATGAGTCTGTCCTGTCATAAATCCTCTATTCCAAGCTTAATATCCTAACTTCATATTTACAGCCAGTCCTCTGTTGATCTCAGCTGCTGTAGATCCTTTGGTGGATGGAACATTTCTCCAGACTATCTGCAGGAACAGATATGATCCCTGTTCCTGTTTGTCCCAGTTACTTGCTGCTGCCTTGGCCACCCATCTCCACATTCAGCAATGATCCAGATCTGTAGGAACATAGAGCATAGGAGCAGGAGGAGGCCATTTGGCCACTTCAACCTGCTCCGACATTCAATCTGATCATCCAACTCAGACCACCCCTCAGGATTTTACATGTTTTCATCAAGTCACCTCTTACACCTTTCTAAACTCCAGCAGACACAGGCCCATGTTGTCCAACCTTTCCTTAACCAATCCACTCATTTCAGCCATTGGTCAAGTAAATCTCCTCTGAACTGCCTCCAATACATTCACATCTTTTCTTAAGTAAGGAGACTAATATTGTGCGTCGGGCTCCAAATATCGCCTCACCAATGCCCTGTATAACTGATAATATGCTTCTCATTTATTCTTCCTGCCAAAATACTTATTTCACAATTTCCCCCATACACTCGTAGAATCCCTACACTGTGAAAGCAGACCATTCAGCCCATTGAGTCCACACCAACCCCTGGAAGAGCAGCCCACCCTAGACCCACCCCATCCCTGTAACCCTGCATTTGCCATGGCTAAGCCGCACATCCCAGAACACTACTGGCAATTTAGCATGGTCAATCCACCTAATCTTCACAGTTTTAGACTGTGGGAGGAAACTGGAGCACTCGGAGGAAACCCATATTCCCAATTCCTTCGCCTCTGCCGCATCTGCTCCCAGGATGAGGCATTCCACTCCCGCAAAAACATTTCAGTTGTCCTCGTTTTTCAAGGACCGTAACTTCCCCCCCTCAGTGGTCGAGAACGCCCTCAACCGTGTCTCCCACATCTCCCGCAACTCATCCCTCACATCCCGTCCACGCAATAAGAACCAAAAAAGAATCCCCCTCGTCCTCACGTACCACCCCACCAACCTCCGGATCCAACGCATCATCCTCCGACACTTC